AATAATGTTAAAACGATCATTTATAATGTCACTCTAACATAGTATAACTAAAAAGTATTATTAGTTAAACCAAATAGGTTAATGAATTTAAATTACCTCAACCAACTCTTTATAATGAAATTCAAGATAGTCAAACTAAAGAGTCTATTTTAAAAAAAAGAATTGCTAATGAACGTTATGATAATGAAAAAAATAAAAGAGTTTTTAATCAAAAATATTTTTAGTAAAAATATTCTTATTGTTAATATTCAAAGTTAAAATATTAAAAAGATGATTCTATCATTGTTATTCATTGTTAATATATTAATCATATACTATTGTTAAATAAAAATACAATAGAGTCATCAAATAATAATCTTAGTAAAAAATATAATGAAAAATAATCAAATACCATTATTATTCTTTTTATTAAAGAAAAGAATGATAACAATTGAATAATTTATACATAGAATATTATTAACAATTCACACTTTTCAACAAAATGAAAAGTTAAATAATAGGTGAGTAAACATTATTAAAACATTCGATCTGATGGACTTCGTGTGATCAATAAATAATATAAAATAAAAGTAATAACACTTATTATCTATTATTTATTTATTTTTATTAATAGAATATTATCTTTTTATATTTTGTTATTTTGAATGATAATGAAATATTTCATTATCATTAAATCTGTTATTATTATTATTATTATTATTATTATTATTATTATTATTATTATTATTATTATTATTATTATTATTTATTTTTTATTTTCATATTCATGAATCCATCACCCAATCAAAAACTTCTTATTCTAAAGATCCATTTAATAAATCAATATTTTTATCATTCAATTATAATATATTAGATTTAAATTAAATCTCTTTGTTTATTCGTTAATAAATTATTATTTATTATAATGAGTGTTCAATAAATATGTTTATTTAAAAAGATGAATGAATAAATATATTATATAATGAATTAATTATTGATTCAATTAACATTAATATTAAATATAACACATTAAAATATATTGAATATTATTAAAACAAAATAAGATAAATAAAACATTATAAATGAAAACTAAATAAATGAAGAAATTGGTTTAGATTAATGAATTTAATAAATGAATGTTAATTCTAAATTATTATTTATTATTTCTTTAATAAATGAATTATTGGTTATGAAACAAGATATTAACATCATTAATAAATGGTTTGATTATCATTTAGTTTCATTTATTATTTTACATATTGTATTATTAAAATCAGATGATATGTAATAAATATTAAATATAATGAAATTATTAATATTATTGTTTATCATCATTTCGTAATAATGTTTAATCTATGTTATTATTTAATGTTAATGAAATATGTTTCAATGAACGAGTTAATAATAAATCAATAAAAGTATATTTATTTGAATGTATAAAAACATACAAAATAAGTAATATTATCAAAAAGTATAATGATTTACATTTGTGTTGATAATACTTTTATTTATCATATTTTATAATAAATTATAATACGTTTGATGATTTCATTTCTCTCAAGATATCATAATTTATCAATAAATTACATTTCTAAATGAATAATATTCAAAAGAATGAATATATTTATTGAACACTATTAAATAAAATCATTCATATATTATTAATAAATAAATTAATTTTTGCTATAACAATAATCATTAACAAGAATGATAATGAATAAGTTTGAATAATATAATGTTTCACTATTTATTATATTATTTATCATAATATCATTATCAATTATTAAATCAAACACATCTCATTGCTCGATAACTTGATTTAGTATTATTTAATCAATTAAAAATCAAATTAGAACGGATAATATTAATTTAATTATGAAACATAATCTCATCAATTATTTCAATTTGTAAATCATTGTAATTATGAAATAAATCAAATATATTTGAATATCATTGAAAAATACTGTATTATTTATTTGATACAATTATCAAATCATCTGTTACATATATTTCAATGATAATGAATAAAAGAAAACAAAGAGAATCAATAACTAGTTATATGAAAAACATCAAGAAATAGTAGATTCAAATACTATTCTTACATTAATTAATTCTTTTTTTAAAGATATGGTATTGTCACAATGTATATTCAGAAAGATATGAAAGTAATTATTGAATTAAAAACTTCAGTAATTATTAATAAAGATAAAAGAAGAATTAACATCTCATATTTTCATTAACTAAGACAAATGAACAACAAAATGATTTAATTTACATCCATGAAATAGAATATTTGATTAATAAATAGTGTATAATATACAACATCAAATAAATATACAAACTAAAATAAAAAGAATAAAAGAATAATAAATAAAGAATAATTGAATATAGCCATTTCTTTTTATTTTTATTTTTAAAAAATGAAAAAGAATTCAGTAAAATAATATAAAATAATATATGAAAATAATAAAAACTTCATTTTATCTCCTTCACTAAATATAAATCTTATTGTCATAATATTTTCACTATTTTTATTGACTATATTAACACTAACTACACTCTACTTCAGATACTGTAATGAAACAATAGTAAAATAATAATAAAAATAATAATACAAATAATAACAAGGTAGAAAATGTTATTTAAACTCAAAAAAGGAAATAAATAAACATATAAACTGTTTTACACAATAATAAAACCAATTCATTTTATAAGTAACTGAGAAACAGCTATTATAAGAAAATAGTATAAAATATGGTAGTATTCTATAAATATTAATTTTAAAGTATCTAATAGAATAAAAAATAAATATTTATTAGAGGCCTTGTTATTTAAATATAAAATAGTTTATAAAGAATTTCATTGAATAAACTAAATACGAACACAAAAAAGAAAACATAATATATTATAATTTCGTTAAAAGAGAATAAAAGAAATGATAATAAAAATATTATAATTTCTATTTATTTTAAAATTTTATTTCATTTTCGAATTTATCTTCTTTGTATTTATCTGTTTATGTTTTTAACTATTATTTTGATATAATAGATTATTTTCTAATTAAAGATATTCTTATTTTATTTTTGTAGTTATTATAAACTAACAAATATAATTATAAATTAAATGTAATGTATAAGAATTAGTCATTATTTTCTATTTATTCAGTTAATTATAATATTAATATGATATAAATATCAATTATATTTCATTTTGATTATGATACATTCATTTCTATTCATTTTAATACAATTTCATTAAACAAATTTATAATATTTTCAAATGTTATAATTGAAATAACATCATTTTATATAATACGTTATCAGATAATATTATAAATTCAATTAATTAATAAATTGAATTAATTCTTTTATTTGATAGTACAATAATTGATTTAATTATATTTTCATTCAAGAGATTAATTATATTTGAATTAATAAATTAATTGATACACACTATTGTATTTGTTTTTAACTTCTTTATTTTGTAAATCTCTATTTCTTGACTGTGTGTTTTGACATTGTTCATTCTGAAATACTAACAATTTCAAATTTATTTTAAAAACTACTCTTCATAAAAACGGTTTTTGTTTAACTTTAACATGAAAAATGTTTTCATCAAAAATATAGTTAGATGAATTAATTCATTTATAAACTTATTTCCCTGTTCATTAATATGTTTGTATTTGATTTTGTAGTAAAAATATCAGTGAAAGTATGTATAAATAAAGACAGTATAGAAATAAATAAATTATTATTTATTCGTCAATAATTAGCCTATAACTCATTTTTATGTAATATTACTTGTTGTTTATTTAACAGTTATTTACTTAAAATAAGAAAGAATAGGGAAATTAGTATTAAGTCAATATATATATATATATTTATTTATTTATTTATTTTTCTCAATGTTTTTATCTAGTAAATTTTTTGAACTCATTTTTTTGGGCACATTCTCCTTTTTAAATAATTCATAATTTTATCTTTATTTATTTGTTTCACGTAAATAGAATTTGACAATAATTCAATTAATAACTTTTTGAAATTTTTTAATCATTACATGAACATTCGTCAATTGAGTGTATGAAAAAATTGAATGGTTAATGTGTTATTTACAAAGGACTTATTAGAGTAAATATAAATTCCACTTTATTTAATAAGAATTTATAAATAGATTTTAGATTCTTTTTTTATTAAAAAAAGATAAAAATTGAAAAATTGAAAAGAGTTAAAGAAAAGAACTGAATATAAAGAACCAATGATCAACAGAAAATTATTCAAATTTGGAAAAGGGGTTAATATTCTTTTTGTAGGAGAAAAAGACTGTGGTAAAACATCGCTAATCACAAGGTACATTAATGACATATATTTTGATTCAAAATTAGATCATGAAGAATCTGTTTGTTTTAAATAGTTGGAAGAAATTAAATTTTTTAAAATTAAAAGAAAGTTATTAATAAAAAAAGAGATTAAAAGATTTTGAAATGAATGGAGAAAAAGTTGAAATTAAATTGCATGAGTTTAGACAAAATGAATACAATGAAGATGAGACAGTATCAATTTTTAGAAAAACTAATGCAATTATTTTTTTATTTCCATCAGATGTAGGAATGGAAGAAATGCAAAAATGGATGAGGTATATTGATAGATTTATTACAGGTGATAAATTATGGTTTATTATTCAAACAAAAATTGATCTTGGAAAAATGGATATTCCTGTAGAACAACGAAGGACATTCACTTTTAAACATACATTTAACCAATATTTTGAAGTTTCTTCAAAAACCGGAGAAGGTGTAAAAGAAACTATGGACACTATCATTGATTTGACAGTAAAAAAATTTGTTCAGTTTGATGTGGAGGAAAAA